CCTAGTCTATCACTCGCCGTCGCCGTGAGTCGCAGTTGTGTGTCGATGTAAAACAATAACATGGCAGTCAAGTGACATCGGATGGAATCTGAAAGTTTCCGGAAATCAACACCAATATGGCGGTAATTTCAATTTGCCGTCTGGGAAGTTCAATAACAACATGTCTAACTGTCGTCTGCTTGATATTATCGACGACCGGTCGCCGCGTCTATGCGCTGGAAGACTGTGAGGACGAAGTCGACGGTAGACTCGTGTACAACGCGTGCATTGCGGAACTAGAATCGTTGAACACCCTTCCAGCCAAAAGTGTTGTTGTTGATCCATCTGATGGTACATGTGGAACTGGGTCGACGCCCTCACATTACTGTCCCCTGGTGAGTAACTTTCCACGCAGTCAGGGCAATTATAATGTTTCTTTACATTGCAGAACAATGCTATATTTTAACACCACTGCTTTCCACCGATTCTCATTTTTAAATCAATAAAACTGGCCTCGAATGCATCATTCATTTGCATATAATTCATCTGGCTTCCCCATGTTTTTTTTTTTTAATTCTCGGCGCGTTTAGACGTAAAAAATAGACCCGTCGGTCGTGGATTATAATATAATATAAAGCTAAAATGCTGGTACTAGTATAGTGCTATTGTTATACACTATTTACATCAATCATTGTTTCAGAATATCTGTTTCTATAGCAACACATGGTTTTTTTTCTGAATTAATTTCAGTGCTATGTACATTTTTTGTTCAGATGTACATGTACTCACGGATTTTTAAATTTTGATGTTAATATGCATTTTATTTTACATGTATACATTTTTCTTATTTTTTTTAAATCAATCAATCATTCAAACATAACTTTTCTAAATCTAAATCTCTAAACATAGATACCTAGTTTTCCAAATATATATATATTTTATTTTTTTCAAATGTTTTAGTCTTCCCGATATCTTACCATTACTGACCTAGTTTGAGTATATGCTGGTGCACTGTGACGTCATTTGTTAATATTTTTGCCAGCTCGCTTATGATCCACCATGACGAAGTTGTTTTGTTAATACCCTGGACTCATCTGTGTATGTAATTTAATAAAAACACTGAAAAGGGAAAGAAAAATGTATACTGTTATTTTTCTTTTGGGGCGTAAACTTGGTTTCTGTGAACCAGTAAACTGTCCACATGTGGAAATTGTAACAAGTGTGTCTTCCTATGGAATTCAGAACTACGCTAATTAAAATGAGCAAGGAAAACTGTGTAATGTCAATTTCTTAATTGTTACTGGGACTTTTCACAATTTAAGGATTAATATATTAGGGCATGATTTCATAATATCAAATATTTCAAGTTTAAAAATATCATAGCTATTACTGTAATTTAGAAGCGCATTTCCAATAGAAGCACGTATAATTCAAAAATTACAATTCTGGATTTTTATACCGGTATACACTGCATGAGATCCACAACGAACACAATAAGGTACCGCGACTGGCACTTTAATAATACATGTATACCATATTTTCTCTATTAGCAGTGCATATACTAAACCAAATTTGTTGTATACTAAAACATTAACATTACAAGTATTACTTTTTAAGCGCTTACTAATAGAGCGAATACGGTATTGGGTTAAAATACATTTTAAGTACATATAGTATGAGTATGATAAAGTAAAATTTTGAATGCAAGTTTATATTATTGAAAATGGTCAGAAGCTAAAAATGGCTTACCAGGAAACAGTATTGTGAGTGATTAGAGGAGCTGTGTTATTAAAATCTCTTCAAAATGTTACACTATCAGCATAACAAACCTGGTGCCTCTAATGTCATAAATATTTATAATTTTCAATGTTAGTTGAATCCAACCAGCCAATCAATGAGCGCAATGCGCAATGACATCATTTGAAAGCATTCCAATGTTATTCAATCAGCCAATAGAAACCTCTCGTTTCAGTTTGAATTGTGAAATTTATGAATATTTAAGATGAAAGTAACAGGTTTGTTGCACTGATAGTACATGTAGATTGAGAAGTAGATAATTAGCTTCTCTGGGTCTTGATTTGTGCGTGTGATTGATGAGTGGAGAGTTCACAGAAAGTAATGTTCAATAGGTCATTGCCACGTCAGGCATTGTTATTCTAATACACTCAAAAGCTTGTGTGTGTATGCATTGTAAAAATATTCGCCCTTTATATTTTTGATAATAATAAAACTATATAATTGCTTTTTCTATTCACATGCTTATGGTATATATCATATGGGGACCATAATAAACATGTTTTTTATTATTAAAACTTGAAATTTTTTAACTCTGAGATGATACTCTTAAGAAGAAAACCAAGAATCGACTAGGTGTCATTTTTCTGAAATCGATCAAGTGATGGAGTTCTTAGAAAGTTATGACACGCGACGCACACTTTTATGGAAGTGATAAAATCATGAGTGAGAGCCAGTGAGAGAGAGGTGTAGCTTACAACTTCTGCATATAGTGTATATGCTTTGCTTTGTGTCTATATTTCGGCGTTGGCTGTTACAAATTGGCACTAATGACACAGGAAATATTTTATTAAAATAAAACTCAGGAGTAGAGTAGTTTGGATTCTAAAATATAATGAGTGTCATTAATTGTTTTTTTCTGTTTACCTATGGTATGCAAAATAATGTTATGATTTGAAAGAGGGATTTCAAAATATGGTATATAATGTTTTGATTATGCACATCAATGTAGTATTGCTAGGGGGTAGAAGTCTGGGACAACAAGATGACACATAAATAGTTTCGATAACTTTGGTAGTCGTTGCATTACAACCTCCGATTTCTTTTACCCTTGGGTACATTGTGTATGTGACATGTTTTTTGTATTCTGTGTGTCCCTGTGAGTCTCACACTCCTTCCTTTCGTGAAAAATGCTCATTGCATTGATTGTGTGCTTAATGTTAAAAAAAATATTATTTTGCCATGGCAATCTGCTGATAAGATAGTTAGTTAGTTATTATATAGTGTATAAATGGGCTTAATGTGTACATTAGCGCATACACTTTTATTTGAGCAAATACAGTGTGTACGGTACATTATTATTTAAATGTTTTAATATTTCTCTTAATTGTCAGATTTCTGCTAAGAAATTAAGACAGTGATCATATAACATTAAAATGATAAGATCAACTTTTACTCACTTTATTCATATTGATTCATCAATTTTGATCAACACCAGTAGCCAATGGGAAAATGTGTCCTCTCTGTGCTCTCGCTAAGGGTGAAATAGCTGTAGCCATGGTTACTCCAAATCCAAAGCTTTACGATGCTAACAGGTGTCAGTGAAAGGTTTTCTACAACAGGTCAGAACCTCACTCAAATTAATTAACTTAATAATTTATGGCAAACCCAGCATGTAATTTGTACACTGGTGAAGGGTTTGGGGAAATTAACAAGTGTAATATTGTATAAAAATACAAAAAAAGGAGAAAATATTGCGTCAACAATTTGGTTATACAGCAATATACAGTGACATTGGTTGTAAATTTTTAGATCACATGATGAGAAAGCTTCCCGAAATCAACAACAGGTGTTGGTAGAGTTAAGCTAACCATGCAGGTCATATCAGGTAAACGGTTTTATTTTAAAATCTGCCGAGAATAAAAGATTTAAAAGCTTCTTACAACCAATTTGAATCAGTAGATAAATCTATTTCTGTCGCATCACTGGGACGTGGGAAACCCAGTTTTAATGTGTTTTTTTTCAGATTTTTGATGGTGGTTGGAAATATAATCACTCTTGTTAACCATGCTTGATTCATCATTACTTGTTATCTGTGTGCAGGTGTAGCCTCATAAACTGAACCAGTCTGAGGGATTTTTTTCCACAATTGGTGGAGTGACTGCTAAAATACATGTTTACATGGAATCCACCTAATAAATGCTTTCTGACACACAAACGTTTTTCCCAGTCATTTTAGCTGTCCATATAGGCTTTCACAATGCATTGTGTTAAAAAAATAAAGATACTAAAATAATTTACTTAATTTCATATCTCAGTTCACTGATCAAGCTTTAACTATTTCACCACCAGAATTTCTCACCCAAATTTTTCTGCATTTTTTTTCTAATATCCTTTAATATTTCTGGAAGTGGACCCTAATTTTTGAGCCAAAAAAACAAATTCGAATTAGTTCTCAGTTGTGACTCAAAAATTTATCTATTTTTGTCCCAATCTTTTGAAAGAAAGTGCAGACTATAAAGCAGGACTGTGAATTTGTGATGAAAAGAAGGAACTTGTGGTGGAAAGGTTAGAAAAGCAGCAGCCTATACATTAGCAATTGTTTGTAGCCTGATTTGAAAATTTCACATAAAATTCAAATAAAAGATCTATGATAATAACTGTGATCTGTATTAAAATGAAACAGCAATATTAGGTAGTCTCTTTATTGTACACATGTTTCTATTGTATTGTACAATTCTATATATACTATTTTCCCACATAACCTGTATTTTTTTTCATTTCCATTCACGACCTACTTCTGCTCTTGTATGCTGAAAACAGTATAGATGTGTTTATACAAAATATTGTAAGCCTACATCAGACATGTAGTAGTTCTTTAAAGCATAACCGGTTTATTTTATCAGAT